CTTTTTAAAATAAAATATCTAAAGCCTAAATATAAATGGATGCATGTTTAGTTTTTTTCGAATCCATATTCGCATTTGCGTTATGCTTCGAGTTTTGTTAATTATGAGTTTTCTGATAGTTATTTTTTGTATTTAGCTAGGTATATTTAAAAATACCAACTGCGAACCGCATTGAATCCGTCCAAAACATCGGCATACGCACTATAACGGGTYWGMCTTCCTTCGTWAAAAACTCGGTCCTTCTAAAATCCACTAATTTCAAATCTATTCAAAATTCTATTCGTTCCCAAACCAATTCAATGTTCTACAAAAACTCTTTCTCAAATCACGACCACATCCGACTTCTAGGCAAAACTCACACTCCTTCAACTACCAAACGCATACTCAAACCCTACCCACTCACCTGGGTAAATCAATAAAACTAACATAAACCTTCCAAATAAACTTCGACCCACTAGTAGAGGCATAAGCCTGGAATAGTTAACGGCATAGCCACCTCCCCCTCAAAGCAAAGTAAAATACCAGCTGCGAAAAAATTTGCGCACGCCTATGATATAGTTCATCGTCATACTCGTTTATTTAACATTTGCAATTAGGTTCATAAGAAAAAAAAAAGACCATCTAATCATGAGACAGAACTCAATATGTTTTTCATCTCTACTTTAGCTACAGATCGTTGACGGGAGTTATGTGGCGGTGAAGGTTCTCTGTAATGAGTTGGTAAAATTTTATCCTGACATCACTTGTTACATTCGTTCGAATCGGTTATTTTGTATAACATTTGCCTATCATTCCAATATCCCAATGTTGCAAGATGAAAACAATTGGTGAAAATCTGGAACACTTGGACGTTATGAATTTTTGGAACTTTCGATGGTTTTTGTTTTTCGCGACCACAGATATTTGAATCAYATATGAGTTTATTAGGATTAAAATTAAAAAAGGGAAATTTATTAAATCTATACATTTTACCTTGTACATGCTGGGGCGTTCAATATTCCAGAACCATAAACCACTTCCACTACCGCGTTGAAGTCACGTTACTCCCGTCTAACCCACATATTATAATATTATACAGCGTGCAATTGTTTAGGGAACATCGCCACGCCGCCACCGTCACCGGCATTGTCTTCCTCTTCCATTGGTAGCGTGCTGGGCTGCTTCAAGAGTTCCTTGTCCACGTCTTTCGGATCCAAGACAAATAATAAACTGTCGATAGTCGTCACCGCCAACCCCCAAAATGTCTTGGCTCAAGGTTAGAAAAATTCTGATGTCTCGTTTAAATATATACACGCCTGGTTCTTTTCTGGTTTCTGGTTTCGTTTTTTAACACTACGCACTAACAAGTAACAAACCGTGTGCCGTTTACATGCGTTTAATATAATGTACAAATAGAACATAATTGTTACGCTATCTAACCTCGTTAATATTGTAATAATATTATGTCRGTGACGTTGACAGAATTTTTTTTTGGTGGGGTGAGGGAGGGGATCATTTACACAGAGTTGGTTTAAGTATTGGATCTCCCATAAGTTTGGCGTACCGAGTTTTATTTTAGGATTCGGTTCGTGTATGGCTACATCATTTTGTATTTACGGTACCTATAACATTCATAGACCATGGAAATATGTTTTTAATTTTCTTAAAATTTCTGAGGAGGGGAGGGGGCTCAGCCATCCTAGCATCTCCACATGGCTACACCACTACATTATGTAAAAATCATTGGCATGGCGGTTAGCTCGTCAAGGTCTGTTGTACATTTTCATGGATTAGCGGGTCCAGACGCCAGTCATATTTCGTATTATTAACGTTGATCAAATTGCATGATTTCATATATATTAGCACAACGCGTATGAGCTTAGAAACCATTTTCATTTCCATCAAAGGTCTTTTCGAATTATGTACTTACCAGGAAAATTAAGATCCTCCTTAGTAGCACCTCATAACATAGACGTCCAACCGGTTTTTGCCTAACTGCA